CCTCCGTTTGTCCCAGGATGCGGAGGCTCTGCAGGGACCTCACAGTGCAGCGCGATTCTCCCACATCCTGCAGAAAGACGCCTTCCTGGTGTTCCGCTCCCTCTGCAAACTCTCCATGAAACCGCTGGCCGACGGACCTCCTGACCCAAAGTGCGTTTTCCTTTTGTTTCCTCACACAATCTCCACCTCAGAGTCTAATTGGCTTTGAGCTACAGTGGGGGAAATAAGTATTTGACCCCTTGCTGATTTTGCAGGTTTACCCACTTACAAAGAATGCTTATTTTTCCTCATCAGATGGTTATCAATTTTTATAAATTCATATGATGTGATTTTCTGGAATTTTCTTTGGGATTCTGTCTCTCACTGTTAGAATGTACATATGATTAAAGTTATAGATGGTTGCATTCTTTGTAAGTGGGAAAACCTGCGAATTCAGCAAGGGGTCAAATACTTATTTCCTCCACTGTAAATAACCTTTCCTGGTATTACACACAGTTGGATTCTAATTGGCTTGACTTGTAATGTATTTCTTAAATGCTTTCAGAAAACTAAATTGAACTAAAGTGAATTAATCCCATCATAGTTATTCCTGTAGTTCTTTTTTTATTTGCACTATAACAACATTTTTAAAAAAGACAAAAAGATCCTGTAGCTTCCAGACTTAAAACAGACCAGCTTTCTTTTTTCCTGTTGTCACTTTAGTTAAATTTAGCCAAATAAACTTTCCTGGTATTACACATATTTGGATTCTAATTGGCTTGACTTGTACTGTATTTTTTAAATGGCCTTCAGACACTAAGAAAACTAAATTGAACTGAAGTGAATTAATCCGATCCTAGTTTTTCATGTAGTTTTTTTTATTTTAAATTTGCACTATAACAACATTTTTTACCCTTTAAAGCCTGATCCAAGGAAAATACTAAGAATATTGGATTTTTTTAGTCTGAAGTCTTTCTTTGGCCCCTCAACAACATATGAAGAAAAAAAACAGATGATTTTGATCAAATTAGCGTGCAATAAGTCAAAAATGTATGTTGGTGTGGTCTTCTACTGGCTGTTATCAGGTATATCTGAATGTGTACAACAGGGGTTTGAGCAAAGCTTTTACCACTGAATGATGCAAAAAGTCTCACATCCAAAAGACTTCAGAAACCGTATCAAATATGACACATTTGGCTTTATAGGCTTAAAAAGACAAAAGGATCCTGTAGCTTGCAGACTTAAAACAGACCACCTTTCTTTGCTTCTATTGTCACGCGATAGTCAGCCAAAATAAACAGGAGCTCCTTTGGCTCTGCTCGGTGCCCTATTAGACTCCACAGGTTAACCTGGCCTTTTCCATCCCGGCGTGGCCCTGTCATCTCCGGTTACCGTAACGTTAGACCCTGGGCCCTCGGTGTGAATAGGGCACAGTAAAACGAGCAGGAAGAAGGCGGCCTGGCCCTTATTAGATAACGAGCTAAATTACTAAAAACCAGTGGTGGGCCTTCTCTGCAGGCCTAAGAAAATATCTGAATCACAGACTGATGTTAATTATATTTTGTCCATGAATACGTGTTAAATATTTCCAAATGGTCTGTCCGCTTCCTTTCATAGCTTTTCCCCCGGTTGTGCTGCTTCCAGACATGTGTTTTCATATTAAAGCATTTAACCAATCACAATTGAGCCATCACTTGTTGCTAGGCAGGGTCAAATTCAAAGATGTCTGCCTGGAGGCCTTCACAATCCGTTCTGCTGGCCTTCTAACAGAAAATAAATGTGATTAAACTGTTGCTTTAACCAATCAGATTTTAGGTTGGTGACACCAGGGCCTTCTAGAAGGCCTTAGGCAACGTCACCATATTCACGCCCGCTGATTGGATAGTCAGATACCGTACCAGCTAAAGCTAGCAAATGAACCCAAACATAGTTGTGTTGGTGTAATAGCTATTTTATGATTCGGTGGCAGATTTACTGTCCAGGCCATTTTCAGAACTGACTTTTCAAGAAAAGTAAGTGAGTAGCATGTTGCTTATTTCCTAAATAATATTCCGAGTTTATGAGGATATTATTGATTTTTGTTGGTTTTTGTTTTTTTTTTGGGGAGGGGGAGGGGTTCGCAGCTGTAGCTGCAGTAGAAGAAGAAGACTTGTGAACCCCTGACCTTTAGACTGTATTTTAGGCTTGTCCCGATCCGAAATCTGGATCGTATCGGCCGGCAGGAGAAAATGCCGATCCAGACTCCAGATCCCTTTTTTTTAAAAAGTCCGATCCCACACGAGCATTAGCATTGGGGGAAATAAGTATTTGACCCCTTGCTGATTTTGCAGGTTTGCCCACTTACAAAGAATGCTTATTTTTCCTCATCAGATGGTTATCAATTTTTATAAATTCATATGATGTGATTTTCTGGAATTTTCTTTGGGATTCTGTCTTTCACTGTTAGAATGTACATATGATTAAAGTTATAGATCGTTGCATTCTTTGTAAGTGGGCAAACCTGCAAAATCAGCAAGGGGTCAAACACTTATTTCCCCCACTGTAAGCCTTTGCAAGAAGATTCAAGTAGATGGGAGCCGTACCCTTAAACACTTTGTAGGCTAGCATCAGGGACTTGGATTTGATACCAACAGCCAGAGGTAACCAGTGGAGTTCAATGAAACAGAGGGGTGAAATTCCCACTGGATTGAGCCGTTCCGTGTCTTATTTCAGGTCCCACGAGCTGCGGTCGAAGATCGTCTCCCTGCAGCTGCTGCTCTCCGTGCTGCAGGGCGCCGGGCCGGTGTTTCGCACCCACGAGATGTTCGTGAACGCCATAAAACAGTACCTGTGCGTGGCCCTGTCCAAGAACGGAGTCTCCTCCGTGCCCGAGGTCTTCGAGCTCTCGCTGGCCATCTTCCTCACCCTGCTGTCCCACTTTAAGGTCCACCTCAAGATGCAGATCGAGGTCTGAATCGTTCGTTTTTTTTTTTTGTAAGAATAAACGGGAGGTTTTTATTAGGGATGGGACGGTTTTCTGAAAACCGTCCGAACCGTTTTGGTTTTGGTTCGACTGTGACTGTCGCCATTGGAGCTGGTAAACGTTTCCTCATCAAAAAGTATTAGATTATCCACGCTGTTGTGGACTGGAGGATTAAAGCTGAACTGTTCGATTAAAATGCCCAAAGGTTAGCATCTTTCAGGATTATTTCAGGTTTTTGAAACTGTTACAACAAAACATTGATGTAAAACTGGTATGTGATCCATTTTTGGATTATGGGATATGATAGAAATGTTTGAGATCCTGCTCTGTTTTCAGAACTGTTCCACATTTATGTTGATCATTCATTGATTATATAGAAATATCTCGCTTTTTGCTGTTGGCTGAAACACAAAACAGTCTAAAATCTGTTGTTTTGTTGCCCGTTATTGGAGAAACGGCTTGTTTTGGCTGCTGTGCTTTAGGTTTTCTGTGAGATTACATGCAGATTGGTGCTTATTAGGGATGGGACGGTTTCTGAAAACCGTCTGAACCGTTCGGTTTCGACTGTCTCGGTTCGGTTCGCGTGTGTTGCGTACGGTTCCTGCTGCTCCTTTTTCTCAGAGGGAAGCGTTTACACTCCAGAGCAGAAGGGGGCGCTACTGCGCCCAAAGCCAGCCACCAGTAGGAAACAAGAAGAAGAAGCAAAGCCGATAAAAATCAGCGAGCCAACAACAGTTTATAGTTCTGCTGTACGGGACCACTTTGCATTTAGAGGGAAGCACATGTTGGAATTAGCACTGTCTCCTCTCTTGCAATGCTAGAATCTCACCTACTTTTAACCTCAGACTGTCACAATAATGGATCAAATGTCAGACTGCTATTTTCTTTCAGTTTTAACCTGACTATAAAACACATAATAGATTTTCCTAACAATCAACATATACCGAACCGAACCGAAAACCGTGACCACGAAACCGTGAATCGAACCGAACCGTGGATTTTGTGAACCGTCCCACCCCTAATTTTTATTCAAACGGTTGTGATTATAATTCGCTCATTTTGCTTAATGAGTCATAATGTGTTTTTTTTGTCACTTAAGGTGTTCTTTCGGGAGATCTTTTTGACAATCCTGGAGACTTCAACCAGCTCCTTTGAGCACAAGTGGATGGTCATCCAGACTCTCACGCGCATCTGTGCAGGTACAGACAAACAAACAATCCTCAAACAATCCCCAAACAATCCTCAAACAATCCTCAAAATCTGTTAAACTGTCCACCTGCTGCTGAAACAAAATACTTGCCTAACTCTGGGATTCAGTTTTAGTATAACTGACTCCAGGGCTGGTCTACATGTTTTTTTTATTCCTCTAGAAGTCAAATGTTGGTATTAGTAGGTTTTTATCAACTAAATTTCCCTTTAAATGTTTTCAAAAATAACACAGTTGGCACATCAATGCCTTTTTTATTTATTTATTTATTTATTTTTTGAAAAACCTACCTGGTTTTGGCATTTTTTTTCACACTTTGCCTGCTGATAGGCCCTCCACAGTCCCAAATGTACACAATCAAATGATTAAAAACTTGGTTTTGCATAATATGTCCCCTTTAAAAACAAACAAGTCCAGTGTTTGTCCGGCTGATTTGAGGTGTCTGTGTCCCCAGACGCTCAGTGCGTTGTGGACATCTACGTCAACTACGACTGCGACCTGAACGCCGCCAACATCTTCGAGCGTCTGGTGAACGACCTTTCGAAGATCGCCATGGGGAGGAGCGGCCAGGAGCTGGGGATGACCCCGCTGCAGGTACGCCCTCATTGAGCCTCAGCACACTGAAGAGCTGTTGGTTTTGTCAGCGGAGTCAAACCTTTGAAGTCCGATTCAAGAAAAATAGGAAGAATATTGGATTATTTTAGTCTGAAGTCTGAAAAGACAAAAAGATCCTGTAGCTTCCAGACTTAAAACAGACCAGCTTTCTTTTCTCCTGTTGTCACTTCAGTTAAATTGAGCTAAATAAACTTTCCTGGTATCTCACACAGTTGGATTCTAATTGGATTGACGTGTACTGTATTTTTAAATTTGCCTTCAGACACTAAGAAAACTAAATTGAACTGAAGTGAATTAATCCGATCCCAGTTTTTCCTGTAGTTTTTTTTTTTTTTTTAAATTTACACTATAACAACATTTTTAACACTTTAAAGCCCGATCCAAGAAAAATAGGAAGAATATTGGATTTTTTTAGTCTGAAGTCTTTCTTTGGCCCCTCAACGACATATGAATAAAAAAAACCAGATGATTTTGATCAAATTAGCGTGCAATAAGTCAAAAATATATTTTGGTGTAGTCTTCTACTGGCTGTTATCAGGTATATCTGAATGTGTACAACAGGGGTTTGAGCAAAGCTTTTACCACTGAATGATGCAAAAAGTCTCAGATCCAAAAGACTTCAGAAACTGTATCAAATATGCTACATATGGCATTATAGGGTTAAATATGGTTTTTGAGCGGACAAAACCAAATAAGATGGTATCGAAAATCTCTAAAACCAAATCAGTTATCTTGGGATCAAGTCATTAACTTTCATCTATGCAAAAGATGAGTTTGAACTTGTCTGGGGAACCAATAGAACAGGGAGATAAAGTAAAATAAAATGATTGGGCATAACATTTGCTAACCAGTTGTCATGGGCAGATCACATTGATATCATAGTGAGGAAGATGGGTTGTGGGATCTCAAAGTTTGAGGAAATGTCTTTCTTATGTCCCTACACATATTGTGGAACAGGTGACAGGTGTTTTTAGGAACACTGTCTATTCTTTTCGACCTGTTTCCTTATATAACCAAATAGTCAGATGTAATCAGGTTAATTCTTAAGCGACAAGATCAGCCAATGGTGGTCACATGATGTCACCATGTCCAAAATCATACGTCTGAAAGAGAACAGTTATTTATCGTGCTATCAGTTACTGGAATAATTGCCCACTAAATATACGTGAACTAAATAGTAAAGTATTATTAATCATTACTTGAAAATGCATTATTTGAATTTGTGAGTTGTGAATTCCACTGTATGGAAATGAGAATTAATAGATATGGATGTTATGACTTATTCGGATTATTTCTGATGATATCTATAAGATTGTCTGCAATGTTTAATTATGTTATTTTGTTTTGTCTTGTGGACTAGCCCGTCCCACTCTAGGTGACAGCTAATGGGGATCTTTTTTTTAACTCATTGACTGCCAGCCATTTTCAGAACAGAGAGTCGCTCACTGCCAGAGTTTTTTGACCATTTCTCTCATAGCGAACCATTGCGTTTGTTTTTATTTGCCTACAGTCTATGCTAATCTCCCATCAAAAGTGGCACAGCAACCTAGAGGGTCAATTTGTTAGTACATACTCTGTCTGGAAGCCGATATTTCCGGAAAAACTTTAGCCGATCGTTCCCCAAAGCCACTCGCATTGAAAAACATAAAAGACCTCTATAGACGTCTTTGGCAGCCAATGAGTTAACAACAACAACAATAGACTGAGCAAAAAAGTCTGATTTGTGCCTTTTTCTCCTGCGATGAGAACGTAGCACAACTCTCCACCGTTATTGATCCTTTTGCTAAAGTTCAAACAGCATGAAGCTGTTCCATTATGAGGTGATGCTGAGCATTTCTATTGATTGTGATTGTGATTGTTCCTTAGGAGCTGAGTTTACGTAAGAAGGGCCTGGAGTGTCTGGTGTCCATCCTGAAGTGTATGGTGGAGTGGAGCAAAGACATGTATGTGAACCCCAACCTCCAGGCCAACCTGGGTGAGCAGCCGGGAACGGGGGAGGGGCCTTTTTCCCCCCCGCCTTCTAGGGATTCTACTGTACTGTACAATGTACATATGTATTAGTACTAGGGATGGGACGGTTTCTGAAAACCGTCTGAACCGTTGGGTTCGACTGTCTCGGTTCGGTTCGCGTGTGTTGCGTTCGGTTCATGCTGCTCCTTTTTCTCAGAGGGAAGCGTGTTCACTCCAGAGCAGAAGGTGGCGCTACTGCGCCCAAAGCCAGCCACCAGTAGGAAACAAGAAGAAGAAGCAAAGCAGCGTAGTCGATAAAAATCAAACGCGCCAACAGCATTTATAGGTCTGCTGTATGGGACCACTTTGCATTTAGAGGGAAGCACATGTTGGAATTAGCACTGTTTCCTCTCTGGCAATGCCAGAATCTCACCTACTTTTAACCTAAGACTGTCACAATAACGTATCAAATGTCAGACTGCTTTTTTCTTTCAGTTTTAACCTGACTATACAAGACATAATAGATTTTCCAAACAATCAACACATACCGAACCGAACAGAAAACCGTGACCACGAAACCGTGAATCGAACCGAACCGTGGATTTTGTGAACCGTTACACCCCTAATTAGTACCCATTTTAAAAGTCGACGCAGTATGAGAATGCGGCTGTTTTTAAAAAAGAAAATGCGGACGTTAAAGCTAAACGTTGAATCTGATCTTAACTACGACAACAGGTAGTTCAACTAATTCTATACCTGCGGTTTTGTTTTTTTTATGAGAAAAGCTTGTCAGCTTTATGCTAAACGCTATATATTGTGATGGCACTAACGTTTGATTTACTGTAACGGTATCAGACTGTTTCTTTCATGTGTTTACTGAGTCGAGGAAAAGTTCCCCTCCACTACCTGATAAAAATGTTGCAAAAAAAGGGGGGGTTCCTGCATGTGTGTGACCTAATCTCCGGCCTTTCTTAAGGTCCCCTACACCCGTTTTAAGACTAGAGGAGATCCTTCCTTCCAGGCCGTTCTCTTGATTCTGTGGAAGTTTTTAAGAGCAAACTTAAAACCTTAAAATCTCTTTTGCAAATCTTTTTAACAGTTCCAGTGCATTCGATGTAGTTATGGTTTTTATTACATTTTATTGTTTTATGTAGTTATGCTTTTTATTACATTTTGTTGTTTTATCTTGATGTACAGTGGGGGAAATAAGTATTTGACCCCTTGCTGATTTTGCAGGTT